CTGGGTCCGGTTCCCAGACACACTGCCGCTCGGCCCTCCACCAGCTGGGTAAACTCTTCCGCGATGCCTGGCGGTGGCACTGGATTGCCCTCGGTGGACGGCCCGACACTCCTCCGCCGCCCGGTGGACGACTCCTCCGGGTTTGGGCAGCCGGCAGGAGTCCCCCGGCTTTACGGTTTACACAAAATAAAATCCAAGCCTGGTCCTCTCTTGTCTTTCACTGTCGTCAGCCCTCCTTTTTATCCTTCCGGAGCTCCTCCGTGAGACTGGTGACCGGTGAGTGGTGCAGGTGTCGCTCATTATCAATTACTCCACCGGCCTCGCTCCGTTCCCACGGCTCTCGGCCCCGCCCCCACTCGTCACAATAACTAATCGGACAACTCAGGAAAACCAGGTCACAAGGCAAGGAAGACAAAACTCAAAACACAATGAAACATGCAGACATGTAACAACAACAGTAACCACTGTAGCACAAAATAAGACTACAACTCAAAATTTGGAGGGTTACAGCTGTCAGAAATTAGGAGAAAGTGACAAGGTCCTCGCTTTCAGTGACTTCAGGACATCTGCGGCCACACGGCATCTCTTTTTTCTCAGACTGCGCTGGTGTGATCTTGGTCCACTCTTCTTCCAGTCTCTTCCATAGTTAGGACTCTTGGCTGGCCATTTCATTATTTCTGTCATGGTTCTGAAGAGGGATGAGGCGAGGACTCAATTGCAGGACAATGGGCTTTTATTAATGGTAAAAATAAAATAAAAGCAAACACAAACTACCCAGAGTGGGAAAAACAGGCAGGCAGGCAGGCCGGCCAGGTACAAGGCACCACACAGCAAGGCAAGGCAGGATCAACAACACAGGTAAATAACACATACCACAAAAACATCTGACATATAAACAACGGACCAGCACAGGACTGCAGACACAAGAATAATAAATAGGGAGACAAACAAGGAGGGTAACGAGGGAGACACAGGTGGAGAAACTGAAACAATAATGAGTTAACAAGAAGGGCAGGCACAGACAATAGACAGGAGTCCCCCCAAAGGAGCAGATTCCAGATGCTCCACCAAACTAAAAAGGAATCCTGTAGAGAGGTGGAACAGAGGTGGACCAGGGGGGAGGGATGGTGGGCCAGGCCCGTGTGGCGGAAGAGGGCCTAGAGCCAGAGGTAGACCAGGAGGAGCCAGCAGAGCAGTAAGCTAGGGCGGAGCTTAAGCCCACCAGGGCAGAGCATGCGGAGCTGAAACCCACCAGGGCAGAGCAGGTGGAGCTTAAGCCCTCCAGGGCGGAGCAGGCAGATCTGAAGCCCTCCAAGGGAGAGCAGACAGAGCTGAAGCCCACCACAACCGCTCAGAGAAGGCTGAAGACCTCCACGGCTGTGCAGAAGACCACCACAGCAGAGCAGGCATGATTGAAGATCCCCATGGTGGAGCAGATGACCACCACAGCAAAGCAGACGGGACAGAGGGCCACCAACGCAGCCATGAAGAGATGAGACTCTGGAGTGGAGGCCAGGACGGGACGAGACTCTGGAGTGGCGGCCATGATGGGACCAGACTCTGGAGTGGCAGCCATGATGGGACGAGACTCTGGAGTAGCGGCCATGACGGGACGAGATTCTGGAATGGCGGCCATGCTGTGGAGGGGCACCACATGAGAAGGCACGTCCTGCTCCGGGACTAAATGTGTCCCACTCTGGGCTAGGAGCTCCACAAAAGCCTCAAAGGACAGAGTCTCCATGTTACTCATCCTCCAACTGCTGATGGGCTCATCAAGGGCATAATTGAACAGGTCCTTGAGAGCCGCATCGTTGTAGTCCAGCCCCTCCACAGCACTCCTGAACTGCATCGCGAATTCCCTCATGTCATACCCCGTTGACAGAGGGAACTCAATGCTGCTACCTTAAGCATGCGTTGGTAGAGGGGGCTGCAGATAGTGGAGGCTGGTAGATGGAGTGAGCCCATCTGAGTCCTCAATTGGCTGGTCCGTTCTGTCATGGTTCTGAAGAGGGATGAGGCGAGGACTCAATTGCAGGACGATGGGCTTTTATTAATGGTAAAAATAAAACAAAAGCAAACACAAAGTACCCCGAGGAGGAAAAACAGGCAGGAAGGGCCAGGCACAAGGCACCACACAGCAAGGCAAGGCAGGATCAGCAACACAGGTAAATAACACATACCACAAAAATATCTGACATATAAACAATGGACCAGCACAGGACTGCAGACACAAGGAGAATAAATAGGAAGACAAATGAGGAGGGTAACGAGGGAGACACAGGTGGAGCAACTGAAACAATAACGAGGTGAACTGAACAACTGAAACAATAACATGATGGGCAGGGACAGACAATAGACAGAAGAACACATGGCACCAACAAACACACAACAAGCCATGTGCTCAACAAAAGACACAGTGACCTCTGGTGGCCATCTAAGGCACACCAGCTGAATACCGTGACAATTTCAATGTTCTTAGCTTCAATATACTGCTTTACCTATTTTGCAGTATGACTGGGACATTGCCCTGCATGAAAATTGCAGGCTGATTGGGAGATGCTTGCAGGGAAGAAACTGCATGTTGCTGAAGGAGGTTCTGATAAACATTTGCATTTACCCTGCCATGTAGCTGCATAACTTCAAATAGGACTAAGCAGTGACCTTAACATTTAGGAAATTGTAGTTTGTTCCCTAATTTTGATTTCCACTGTATATACTGAGAAATTATAGCCAAATTTGTCCTATGTGTTATTAAAACAAGATTCAGTTTAACTTCACTTTCATTCAGCAAGGATGCATTAAATTTATTTTAAAATGACCGAAAAGACATTTATAATCTTACAAAAGGTTTCTAATAAATGCTGTTCTTTTAAACTTTCTATTTATGAAAAACTCATCAAAAATATATCATGGTTTCCACAAATAAAAACTTTTTTCACCAATGTAAATAGTAAGAAATGTCTCTTTAGCAGCAAATATTCATATTAGAATGATTTCTGAAGGATCATATGACATGGAAGACTGGAGTAATGATGCTGAAAATTCAGCTTTGATCACAGAATAAATCACTTTTAAAAATATATTCAAATATAAAACAGTTATTTTAAATCTGTCATGTCCCAGCCTGTGTTCCCGTTTTGTACTCTTATTTTGAAATTTATTTCCCAATTGTTTATGTGCTCTCTTCCTGTGTTCTGTGTCCCTATTTGTCTTTGCAATTTCTTTAAAAGAAAATATCTCCCTTTGCATTAAACTTTGAGCATTGTAACTTTGCAGACGTTGTTTATGCTCTAACAGCAACATTACACGCTAAAGTTAAAAAGTGAAATCATAATCAACCACCCCTTTAAACAAGACCACAGATCCACTAAAATATTTATCTAAAGACTTACTAAGTATTTAAATGCAATTTTTTTCTTGCCTTGGAGAAATATAAGCTCAAAATGATGTGAAAAGAAAGCCAATAGAAGTGGAATGGGACTCACAACAATGGAGCTGCCAAGTAATGATCCCAGCATCAGTGCTTTCTGCATGAGCTTAAACAGGTGTGGAGGAGCTTTGTTCAGCTCATAGTTCTCAGCAATGCCTCCTGTGAAATCCTCAAAACCCTCAGTGGACCAACCTCCCGACAGAGCTTCATATGAGCCATTTAACCTTCAAAATACAGTAGAAATCAGCACCACTGGTTGGTATATCACGGATATGTGACATGTTATAGGAACATTGTGTGTTTTGTGGTTTGGCACAGTGTTTTCCAACAGTTTCAGATGACTCAGTATCTTATTGTTCAGAAATATAGTTCAGGTAAAGTAGTAGCAGGTAATTTGTGAATAAACACACACTTACTTTGCATAGGCCTTTTCCATCAGAGCACTCCAGAACTCAGAGCCCTCGGCTGAATGAACAAACAGCAGCTTCCCATCTCTGGTAGGCAGCCGGTCATCAATGACAACATCCACCCATTGACCGTACTGCCAGAACTGAAGAGACGAGAACAACACCAATCAGTCTGACAGTATCCCTTTAATTTATTATTTGAATAATAAGGTTATAAATACTCAAACGAAGCCAAAAGTCTGAGAGCACTAGTGAAAATAATCCATTTTGCATTTTTTCTAATGTTATATGGTTTTTTAATTATACATTTTATTATTAACTAACAATTTCAGTTAAATTTTGATTTAAATTAAATTATTTAGATTTAAGTTTTTTTTTTTTTTAAATCCTAAAACATTGTAACTTTTCTTTCAAGCTTAAATTAGATTTTCAATCCCAGATCTTCAATGTGGTCTCAGACTTTTTGATCCCACTGTATGTTTACACCTGAAAGTGAAAGATGCCAGCATAGTTCTCTGTAAAACTCTGTCCATGTGGAACTACACGTTCCAGAATCTCTTTTTCCAGAGTCAAAGATGCAATAGCCGCCAGCAACCAACAGTCACCTGCAAATGTATCAAATGTCATTAGATTCTTCTGCGTTAAGTTCATTATTTTATGCAAATTGACTTCCAGTGCACTTATGACAGTTACGGTCTTCCAGGATCAACCTGGGCTTCAGTGTTTTGCTCAAGGAGCATCCTGGACCTGAGTGTATGTTTCTTGCTCAATGGTGATGGTTGGGGGCAATTGTGGTCTAATGGTTAAAGAGTTGGACTTGTAACCCAAAGGTTGTGCGTTCCAGTCTCAGTCCCAGCAGGGATTGTAGGTGGGGGAAGTGAAAATGCCGCAGTTGTCCAAGACTCTCAAGTAGATGCTATAGAAAAAGCGACAGAACAGAGAAAACCAGGTGCAAGAAACAAGAGCAGTAAGAAACTAGTAATACAAGACTGTCGCAGATGCGGAAAGTGCCATGAGCCATGCCAAAACCCAGCCTTTGGAGCAGTATGTCATAAGTGCTGCAAAAGTAACCACTTTTCCAGGGCAGTCACTTGCAACAATAGCAGAGCAAAGACAGTGCATAGCATAAAGAGTGAAACAGATTCCATGTACATTGGCACATTAATACACACTCAAGTGCATGTGATGGAACACATAAAAGACAGTGTGTGGTACACAACAGCCACCATCCGAGGCATAGAAATAAGATCCCTGGTCCAGTTAAGCCACAGACTACATCAACGGTGTTAGAAGCATTCGGGGAAACATTCTCCACACTAAAAGGCGTTGTGTCACTGAAATGCAAGACCGACAAAACCACAGCCACATTACAGTTCTATGTATTCGATCAATCAGACATGCCTATCCTGGGCAGAGCAGCATGTGTGAAAAGGATTGAGCTGCTTGCAAAAAAGTCTGTGTCAACCAAAGAAGAGCTGGTCAAGGTGTATCCATCAGTCTTCACTGGGCTAGGTGATACATGTTGACCTGACAGTCACACCTGTGATCCATGGATGCAGAAATATTCCACTGTCTGTTCACGACAAGCTGAAAGAAACACTTCAAGATCTTGAGAAGTATTATTTCCCTTTAACTGAGCCCACAGAGTGGGTAAACAGCCTCGTTATCACAGAAAAGAAGAACGGTACACTGAATGTATGCTTGGACCCTTGTGACACGAACAAAGCTATAAAACGCCAGCGCTATTCCATTCCCACTCCTGAAGATGTGTGTAGTAACCTGGCTGGAAAGTCTATCTTCACCATTCTCGATGAGAAAGATGGTTACTGGCAGAATAAGTTGGATAAGCCGTCCTCAAATCTATGCACTTTCAACTCACCATGGGGCAGACATCATTTTCTGAGACTCCCATTCGGCATCAAGTCAGCAAGTGAGGTATTTCAGCAGAAAAACTCTGAGACTTTTGGTGACATACAAGGAGTACACAACATTGCTGATGACATGATCATTGCTGCCTCATCAGAGCAGGAGCATGATGAAATCCTTGATAAGAGCAAGAGCGGCCAAGGTGAGATTTAATGGTGATAAGATCCAGTTCAAGGTTTATACTGTGAAATACGTGGAACACATCATCACACCAGATGGCCTGCGACCTGACGAGGCAAAAGTGAATGTGATCACGGACATGCCACCCCCAGAGGATAAACAAGGCCTGCAATGTCTACTCGGCATGATTAAGTACTTAGCGCAGTACATTCTGAATGAAGCTTTACTCACAGCACCTCTAAGACAATTGCTGAGGAAGGATGCTGTATGGCAGTGGAACTCACTGACACTGAGCAAAGATATGCTCAAATAGAGAAAGAGTTACTCACCATACTCTTTGCCCCTTGAGAACATCATGCAGAAACAGCTGTGCAAGGCCCCTAAAGCTACAAAAGTATGACATGAACATTGCATATATACCAGACAAGCACATGCTTATAGCTGATGCACTATCCCGTGCAACCGTAAGTAGAGAGGTTGATGATGGCGGAGACCTCTATGATGAGAGAGTTGCAAGATCTGTGTGAAAAGGTAGAGACTGGCTGGCCACAGAAAAGATGAAGCATGAACAGTAACCTAAACAGCTACTGGCCTATGCGACATAAAATCAGCATCCGTTCTGCATGCTGATTTTATGTCGCATAGGCCAGTAGCTGTCAGTGTTTGGCAGTAATGCATTACTTAGTAACGTGTTACTGTAATTTGATTACTTTTTTAGTAACGGAGTAATTTAACGCGTTATAATTTTCAAAATAGTAATTAGAGTATAGTTACAAGCCAAGGTATCTATACGTTACTGCCGCATTACATTGCTGACAGAATGCAGTGATTTATAATCTAGAGATTGTAAAAAGGATGTAGCACACGCACTGGCGAGTCAAGTGCCAGTAGATTAGAGACCTGCTCCCGTGAGACCCGACGCAACAGAGTGAGTGAATGTTGATGCTTTCATAACAAATATTTATCGGGAGCGTGTATGGAGAAAAACAGTTACGTAACTAGTAATGTAACTAATTACTAATTACTTTTGAAATAAAGTAATCAGAATCAGTAATTTGATTACATTTTCAGAGTAACTTGCCCAACACTGGTAGCTGTGGGTTGCTGTTCAAGTCTCTACATTGTGATGATAGGAGACAAGATAATCATACCTCACAGCTTCAAAAAAGTCATCTTAGAGAAGCTATACATAGCTCATCAAGGTATCCAGGGAACAAAGGCCAAAGCAAGAAAATCCCTCTACTGGCCTTGAATGTTACAAAACATTGAGATGATGGTGGAGAAATGTGCACTGTGCCAAAAACTCCAGTCACGAAAAGAGCCACTCATCACACAGAATGTTCCAGAACTACCATGGATAAAGGTTGGAGCGAATATCTTCAAGCTGAGAGGTCAGTCTTATCTATTGCTAGTGGTCTATTTGACAAAATATCCAGTCTTTGCTAAGCATGGTATCCCGAAAGAATTAGTGAGTGACAATGTTCCATTCGCCAGTTACAAAATGAAGTCATTTGCGGCATCATGGGACTTTAAGCTCACATTCTACAGTATAGTCCAGGATACCCTCAGTCCAATGAACTTGTGGAAAGAGCAATAAAGACTGTTAAACATGCATTGAAGAAAGCGAAACAAACTGGCACAGACCAACATCAAGTGCTACTGTCACTAAGAAATACACCAGTGAGAGGCCTGAATGAATCTCCTGCACAAATGCTAATGGGCAGAGTCCTGCGGAGCACAATGCCATGCTCTAGTGCTGTGCTCCAACATTCAACCCCAGAACACAAAAGACTGGTAGATTTGCAATCTCAAATTCGGTATCAGTACAAACGCAATGCCAAGCCACTACCTGCACTGGCACCAGGATCCACAGTACATACAGTGGGTACGGAAAGTATTCAGACCCCCTTAAATTTTTCACTCTTTGTTATATTGCAGCCATTTGCTAAAATCATTTAAGTTAATTTTTTTTCCTCATTAATGTACACACAGCACCCCATATTGACAGAAAGGGGTCTGAATACTTTCCGTACCCACTGTATGCAGTCCAGATGTGGATGGAAGCCCGCTGTAGTGGTGCACCAGAGAGATGAACCTCAGGTCTTACACGGTACAGGCGCCAGCAGGAAAGACATTCAAGAGAAACAGACGCCACTTGAGAAAGATGCATCCGAGTCTGTGCAAAGGTGTTGCTCCTAATGAACATTCGGAGGAAATATCCACTCAGACACCAAGACCAGCTGACCAATCACCTGAGAATTCTCCGGTGAAAGTGAATAAACATCCAACACACCATACTAGGAGTGGTAGAGTAGTAATACGGCCAACTAGATACAATGATTATGTTATGGACATGTGATATGACAGTATATAAAAAAAAGAGAAAGGAGAACAGTAGTCTGTAACAGAATGATCAAAGTATTCTCAAAGTAATTTGAATGGACTATTAATGTTCACAGTGACCATTATTGAGTAAATATTTGGTATGGTGTTTGGTTGGTTAAATTAGTTAAATGTTCAGTTAAAAGTTACTGTTTAATAGGCTTGAATATGTACATGGGGAGATTTGAGTGAAGCAGCTTGAATGTAAGAACCATATCTTAGTTTTGTTAAAGAAGGGGATGTGGTGGATTTGGTTTGACGCTCTGTGTTTGATTAAACTGACTTATGTGTCGTTCTGATCATCTGTTGATTGTTCATGCCTGAGAAGTGTATTTGGTGGTTAGAATGAGCGAAAGTCACGGTGTGTCTGAAATTGCGTACTGAGTAGGTACTACATTTGAATTTAAATTTTCTTCACGGCCATTAAAAAAGTATGTTCTATATAGTATGAATGAGGGTAGTATGAATGAAATTCGGACATAGTACATCTGCCATGTTGTTACTGTCACATGACCTATCTGCCTCAGTTGCGTCGCTTCACTGCCATTCATAAATCCTGTCACATGGCCTCATGGGATAGTAAAGTGTCCATCTAATGCACACTTCAGAATCCGGGCAGAAGTAGTAGGTCATCTGGGTACTTTTCGCCAAATGTTTTTCGAATACTATGAATTTGGACGTACTACTTGCCTCACATACTGTTTTTCGCCTACTATATAGTAGGGAATGTGATGTCTAGAATGGCTTGTCTAGCCTGAAAAATAAGCTTTTTTAAAGCTATATTGAGCAAAAGAAACAACATTTATGAGACAGTTGTCAGATATCATTGGTGATTTCAAATATGAAATTTAATCGTAAACTTGGCGAACAGTTTTAGAGAATTTGATATATCCCCATTCAAAGAGATAGGAGCTGCACTTGCATGCCCGAGAGGCATTTCAAAGATGGCTGCCAAGTGAAATGAATTAAAGGGACTTTGGTAAAAAAAGAAGCACAAGGTTCACGGTTTCACAGTGTGTATATTAAACATAGGAATAAGACACTAGAACACATCATACTGTATGTGACATTATTTCTGATATAGCAATTATATTTGTTAAATTTGTCTGTGTTAACACCCGAACAACACTGATTAAAAGGCTCTTTTCTCACCTAAAGCTCCCTGGCAGATGTCTGTCCGCTCAGCGCCGTCCACAATGAACTGAGGTTTTGAGCAGAGTTCCTTCAAAAAAGGACAATGTGAGTATAGTAATGGTACAACTGAATAACAATAGGTTTTATTTGCTCTTCGCAAACAGCACACGTAAAAATGTATCAACATGTATCAGAACAAGATCATCCTCACACCTAAAGAGAAACCTGAGCTGCTGTCACTTATAGTGAGCATATCACGCACACACGTATGCAAACGAATTTACTTTTCTTAATATTAGGGATATCAATCGATTAAAGTTTTTAATCTAATTAATTACATGATGTGGCGATTAATTAATTTAATTAATAGCAAATTAAATCTGGCCCTGAAGATACCCCCAAAAGATAATTTAAAGCCATTATTGTGTTAAATGAGAAAAGTGTCAAGTAGACATTTCAAAAAGCAGCTTTAGAAATGAATATTTTGATCAACTTAAAATGTACACATTTACGTACTGACATAAAAGATGGAACTTAAAAGAAGATAATTTGAGAAACAGTAGGCCTATTTTTTGTTTACATAATGAAAGTCATTGGTAAAACAGTTTGGTTACCAACAGTCTTCAAAATACCTTCATGTTCCACAAAAAAAGTAAGTCATACAGTTTTGAAATGACATGAGGATGAGTAATGATGACGGAATTTTCATTTTTGGGCAAACAATCCCTTTTTTTTTTTATTAAACAATACTCTAAATAATAAATTAAAAATGCCAGTAGGTGGCGGTAAATGTCTTGACATTTAAATGTCTTGTCATTTAAATGTCTTGTCTATGAGTAAATCATTGAGTCATTCATTCATTCATTCATTCATTCGTTCGATTTGTTCAAACGGCCGATTCATTCAGGAATGAAGTAAACGGCTCACTTTATGAATGGGCCATTGAATCATTGGTTCACATGATTCATTGAAAAGGCGGATTCATTGAGAAACGAAGTAGGCCTTTAGCTGTGTGTTGCTCAGAAATGCACAATTCTGCTGTGGCTTAGAGGTAATATTGTCGTTGGCAAAATTGAGCAAAAACAGACAATATTATGATTAAAATATAACACAGTATTCATTTCTTATTTACTTATTTACTTTTGCACTCATGCTGTTCGGGAAAAACAGCACTCGTGTGATTGCACTCGCTGATCGTGTGTTAATGCAAGTGAAAGTGAAAGTGATAGTGACGTATTCCATACTCGGAATTTGCGCTCACCGCTCTTTTACGTCTAATCATTATTTTGCTCACTCTCTCTCATAGTTTATAGTTTATTTACCTCTTCACAACTTAAAGGTGGGGTAAGCGATTTTCAAAAGCACTTTAGAAAACTGATTCGGGCCGAATAGCAAAACAAACTTGTAGCCAATCAGCAGTAAGGGGTGTGTCTACTCATGATGTGGAGGAGAGAGCGTTCAGTGCACAGCACAGGACGGACATTAGCCAAGCCGAGCGACAGAAAGATAGAGATGGTGAATAAAAAACAAAAGAGGAAAACGTCTGCGGAACAAAAGAAGGCTTAAGGCAAGAAGTAGGACCCGTGTAATCATCGGATCAGCTTTCCAGCGCTGGAGAGAACTCAAGGAGCGGAAGGCCTGCGATCGGATGCCGAGGTTGCTTTGTTTCTTCTCGATAGGTGAGTAACACCGTGTCTGCGCTGCAACAGCTAAAGTCTGTCTAGTACACTGGATGCGACAAAGCGACCGTAGAAAATCATTTGGAATTTGTGTCAATACGTCATAAATAGAACGCAGCAGCAGTTTTCTGTCGGGGATTTGTCGTGTCGTGCCGCGCCGCATCCAGTGTAGAGCATAGATATGTATATATATCTATGGTGTAGACAGCATCACCGTTTATAATGAGTCCCATAGTATTTTGTCGCGCCGCACCACTCGCGTCCGGTGTAGACACGGTGTAACATTGGTTTTGCTTTGTTTCACAGAACTAATCGTTGCCTGGGTTTAAATAAATAATTAGTCAACCTGATGCTGTTCCAAAGCCATATTAGGCTTATTTTTTTCGGATCACAAAAGAAGACATGCTTGCACTTTTCCATTTAATGAATTGTAACCTTCTTCAATCTTTTTACAAAAAGGATTCAAATGTCATAAAATTATCCCATGCAATTCATGTTC